TCCTGCTCAGGCTGACCCACTTGCTGCCCTTGCCAGGATGGAGTACGAGGATGAGGTGCTGAGGAGGACAGTGCCAGCAGCACCCAAGCATCCAGTGCAGGGTGAGTTTCAGCATCGTTCCTCTTCTGGGGAATCTGGATTAGCCCAAGGGCCAGGGTAGGGGATGATGGCAGCAGACCCCAACAACTTGGAGGTTAGCTGAGAGGCCCAAGCACAGCAAGACCTCCCTGGGGAGCTGCATCAGACCCTCCTTCCACCTTTCCACCCTCCAGGGTGACAGAATATGGAGCCAGTGCTTGGGCTGGGGGAGGACTGGCCACCCCTGGGCAGTAGGGCCACAAGATTGTCTTCGTTTCCACAAACAGGGACTTCTCCTTCCCAACCATAAGGAGCCCGCAAAGGGCAGTGGGCAGGCGCTGGACTTCAATTCATCCTAAACTCCTAAAGCCCTTAGTTACTACATTCCCAGCTCTGGGTGGCAGTGGTGGTCTTGTTCTTGTGCCCATCTGATATCCCCTCCTTTCCCTCCCCCAGAGTGCAACCACCCCTCACCCATGGAAAAGCTGCAGCAGAGACCAAGCAGGAGGCGAGGAGAGGCCACCTCTGGGAGTCACCCATCATCAGGCCTGCACTTTCTCCCGCAGGAGGTAAAGGGGACAATGTATATCCACAGACAGCAATGGGGACATGGATGAACGTCCCTCCTCTCCCGTGAAAGGTTGTCACAGATGTGCTGGGGAGGAGCTACTCTCTAGGGCTCCCCACCATGAAACCAGCTTTGCTGGAGCTTTCCTTTCTCACTAACATTGGGAAGGAGCTGGGCCCCCACCACAGGGTGCTCATCCAAGCAGAGACAGCTTAAAGCAGCATCTCTTGGCTGCTCCAGAGCCAGGGAGAAAAAGGGGGTGCATCAGGTTTGCTCCCACGCTGCCCTAACTGCCCTTGGCTGGTGTGGGAGTGTGTGTTCGGGCTGGGGACAATACCTACAGCCCCCCCCATGAACATGAGAGAGATCTTCCATGGGCATTGTCCAAGCCCAGCCTGCAGCTGTTTGCTCTTCTCACCCAGCAGCCCGGAGAGGATGGCACAGTGACGGGAGCGGCGTCCAGCTCAGAGCACCAGTGGGGTGAAAGCAGTGACCTGAGTGCATCCTCCACCCCCGCCATCACCTTCCTCATTCAGGAGGTAAGGGGCAGTGGGAAAGGCAGGGATGAAAGGGGCTGGCAGGGGTGCCATGCTCATACCAAACTGGGAGGTTGCAGGAGCAAAGCTTAGCTATGAGGGTGAGCACAGAGGGCAGAAAGCACATGAGGTGAGGGTGGGTTGTGTGCAGCCAGGGCACCTCTACAGACTGAGAACACATCAGGCTCTGATCCTATCCTCTGCTGCAGGCTCTGATCTCCGGGGGCCTCACAGCTCTGGCCCATGACCCAACCTTTGTAGCAGTGACGAGGGCCGAGATGGCAGCCAGCAGCCAACTGGAAGTGGATGAAGTGGAGAAAGCAGCTGTGGAACTCCTAAAGGGAAGAGAAACACTTCAGGGTACAAAAGCTAGCTCTGCCCCTCAGGGCACCTCAGTCACATCACCAGCCAGCTCCCCAGGGCTCAAAGCAGCCCCTTCCCAAAAGACCATTGCTGCCACTCGCCTGTGATCCACAAGCACACATGGTCCCTTTGGAAGCTTGCAGGGGGTTAATTGGAGCAATGCCACACTGCTCCCCCTCTGCCTGGGGTCCCGGTGGGCTCTGTCCAGCTGCAGGAGGATTTTGGGGCCGGGTCTCCAGGATGCTGGTGCAGGACAGGACAATACTGTGCCAGCAGGGTCTTGCAAGAGCTGGACAGGTCATTAAAGTGTTCCTGCTGTGTGACTCCATGGATCCCCCTTGTCCCCTCCTTCTTCAGCCACCTTGCCTGTACAGCCTGTGCCTAGCCTGTGCCTAGCCCTGACTGGGAAGGGGAGCTCCAAATGTGAGAACCAGAGCTGGCAGCAATTCATGGGGCAGCCTCCAGTCCCCATGTGCAGGGAGGTCTGTCCCTACTCCAAAGTGCTCATGTCATGACTGTCAACAAGGCATTTTAAGAGCAGTAGCAAGCTCTGGAAGAGTCTCATGGTATCTCAGCAGCTGGACCCAGCATCCTTATGTCCCTGCTGGAGCCTATTTCTCCTCCTTGCAGCCAAGGAGGACTTGGGCAGATGCTGGAAGCATCTTCCAGGCAGGAAGCCCAGGGGGCTTCTTGACAGTCCCCCAGCTGGGCAGAGGCATAAGAGCATGTCCAGGTCAGTGCAGCAGCCCTGGGTCTAACCAAGGGGAGAGTTGGCCACTGCAGTGTGATTTGTGTCACCAGAGATCTCTGAACACCACTCTTGGGCTTGGGCACCCACTGATGAGCCCGGCCCACAGGAGGGTCTCACTCATCTTCCGGACAACTCCACTGCTTTGCAAGGGACAGGCCAGAAGTGCCAAGGGGAGCACAGCACTTGATCAGCACTGCCTACACACTGTCCATTATGTCTGTTAGCAAGTAGCAACTGAGGTTATTTCTCTCCGGGAATAAGTCTGCCATGGGGTTTTGCTTTACAGACCTCAGTGGCCCAGGCACTGAGCACTGGGGCAGCCCCATCTCCCCAGGCCATCTCTTTGCTGGGATCTTGCTCTAGAGGTTCCCCAGCCCAGCCAAACTGGGAAATGCATGTCTCTTTCTTGCCTAATTATATTAAAATGCAGCAAAGCGATGGGTCCTGGGGGAGGTGTGAATAAATGGAGCCTGCCTGCTTTCCAGCAGGGCATTTATTTGTTAACTTAATAAAAGGGAAATGGCTGTTGCTGAGCTCCAGCTGCAGCCTGAGCGCCGGAGAGCCCATCTTGTGCAGGGAACATGGCAAGGCTGAGAGCTTTCCCCTGAGGGGATCCAGGCAATCAGCAGGGATAGGGTAGAAGTAGCCCATATGGGGCTATTAAAGGGTGAGAGGGTCCTGCTGATCACTCCTGACTCTCCAGTCTGCAGATCAGCTTATGGATGGGAATCAGGGAGTCCCGGTTGGTGCGATATTGCCGCCGGTGCACTGTTGTGGTCGCAATTGGTACTTGTTGTTCTTTGACCTTCAGCAGCCCCACAACAGAAGGATCCTCTGAGAGACCAGGCAAGGTGGACAGCTGCTCAATTTCCTCAGTCTCCAAAGCAGCAATACCAAAGGCCTATCGGTACCCTTTTGGGTCTTTGAAGTACCCTCTCCTGAGGTAGTCTATGCCAAGGATGCATGGAGCCTCTGGACCAGCCACAATGGGGTGCTTTTGCCGTTTCCTCCCAGTCAGGCTGATTTCAGCCTCAACTGTTGGGATCCTCCTGTCACTCCAGACATACAAATGGGTTCCACCCCTTGACAGCTTGATGGCATCAGGTTACACTGTGCACTGGTATCTACCAGAACCTTGTACTTCTGTGGTACTGATGTGCCAGGCCATCTGATCCACACAGTCCAGTAAATCCAATTGTCCCTCTCCTCCACCTGGCTGGAGGCAGGGCCCCTCTAATAGTCATCATAAGATTCTCCACTTACGTCTTGTAGAAAGGGATTAGAATTCCTTATCACAGGAGTTGAAGTAAAAGCAGCTCTTCCACTCCATCTGGGAAGCTGCTCACTGAAGAATGGAGCAGCAGCTTTCATAGGATGATCCTCCTCGACCTTTGTTCTCCTCTTCAATTCACACACCCATTCCTCCAAAGCTGAGGTAGGTTTTCCATCCGACTTTCTCATGCCTTCTCCACGATCCTGCAGGGAAAAGCCATAGGGTGGCCTGTGGCATGTACCTCCTGTATCTTTTCTTTTGGGCAATAGGGTGCTTTCTGCTAATAGCTGAGATGGGGGTTGGTACATGTGGGGAGCTGGATAGATCGGACAGATCATCTCTCAATTGTTTGAACTCCTGGGACAGTTTTTCCACAGCTGAAATGATGGAAGGGGTGAGATTGTCTTTCCAAGGCAGGCGGTTGCTCTCCAAGGATTCCAAACACAGAGCGTGACACTATGGTGGGGACACACAGCAGTGACGGGGCAGTTTCTCTGCACCCTCTACTGGGGCTTGGAGCTGCACTGCGGCTGATTTGCCCCAGACTGGGATCTGGAGGGTGTTTCTTGAATTAATTCCTAGCTGAAGTGTGGGACAGATATGTTTTGTGACACAGCTGGCACAAGGGTGGGAGTAGGAAGATAAGGCCAGAAACACCATGCCATGATAAGCGGCTCTTTCTGCCTGGAGCCTTGATGGGGAAGGATCCTGAGCTGCTCTTCGGTACAGCCTTATAGAGCCCTGGCACAGCCCTGGTACAGCCCCAGTATGGGCCAGAACAGTCTGGTACAGCCCTATACAGCTCAGTACAGGCTGGAACACCCTGGAACAACCCCAGGATGGTCTGAAACATCCTGGCACACACACAGTATGGCACAGTACTGCCTTGTACAGCCCAGAACACCCCGGCACACCCCTGTACAGTCTGGTACAGCCCTGACACAGCCCCATAGCCCAGCACACCCCCAGTACTGCTCGGTGCAGCCCTGAACAGTCCTGTAGTGCCCAGGACATCCCTGAAACAGCCCAGTACAGCTCTGCACAGCCTGGAATGCCCTGGCACAGCCCCGGTACGGCCCGGAACAGCCCGGTACGGCCCGGAACACGTTGGCACAGCCCCGGTACGGCCCGGCACAGCCCGGTGCAGCGCGGTACAGCCCGAAGAGCCCTGCGCGGTGCCGGTCCAGCCCTGCACAGCCGCGGTCCACCCGAGCAGGCCGGAGCCGGCAGGGGGAGCAGGGCCCGGCGGGTGGGAGCGGTGAATGAGGCACAACGGGAGCGAGAGCGTGAGAGCGAGCGCGTGCGCGTGTGTGCGCGCGCTCGCACCGTTTCCCCGCGCGTCCGCGTTCCGGCGGGGGAAAGGGGGGGGGGGGGGCGTGTCCCCCCGCCCCGCCCCGCCCCGCACCTGGGGCCGCTCCCCCCCGCCCCCCAATCCCCAGCGCCGCGGATGCTGTCGGGCAGCGGCGGCCGCGGTGCCCGGCTCGCGGGGCCATGGCGGCTCCGGACAGCTGCGTGAAGGTGGCCGTGAGGTGAGTGCGGGGCTGCAGCTGCGTGTGCTCGGCGCGGGGGGTTGCGGATGCCCGACTCGGTGCTGCCCAGCCCCCGGGCACTGAGTGTCCCCCATCGGAGTCGGGTTTTGCCTCCCCGGTCCCACCGTTATCCTCCCCGCTCCACATCGCCTTGGGGCTGCTGCTTGCCACCCCGCTGGCCGTGCTCTCTCAGCCCCTTTCCTGAGGCCGGGGGAGGGGGGGCGACCCAGGAGTCCCCGACCCCTTCACCTGCAGAGCTGCTGTCAGCGTTTGCAGCTCGGCAGCCCTGGGCTCTGTAGTGGGTGAATTTGGTCCCCTCTGGTGTCAGGCGAGATAAGGGAGATGTGGGGGGGTTCCTTCCTCCCCGAGGTGTTAGGGAACGATGCGGCATCTCTGTGTCCTTTGTGCTGACTTTGGGCTGGGAACAATGCGCCTTCCGTATCGTGCACCTCGATGAAGGACCTGCCGGCAGCACCTCCTTCACGCGTGGGCTCGGAAGGCAGCTGGGGGGGGGGGGGGGGCAGCTCACCCATCGCCTGCAGAGCCCCACGGGCTGTGCGGGAGACCGGGGGGACTCTTTGTTAGCGCCGTGCCAGGCTCGGTGTATTGTGTGCACAGCCGCTGGGGTCCCGCAGACCGGCGGCGTTTTGCTCCTCTCTGCCCCAAGGGGAAGGAGCCCCCGGGGAGACGGGGTGGTGGGCGAACCCATGGGAGAGGGGGCCCCGTCACGGCCTTCTTGAGGAAGGGACCGTGCAGCTTCCCCTGCTCTCACAGCGCCTGGTCCTGGTTCAGCCGCGTCTTCCGGACAAGCGTGAGCCGAGCCCAGCCCGGCCTCGGCACCCCGGGACCCAGAGCACGGTGTCGGCGTGGGGCTGGCCGGGGGCAGGACCGCGTCAGAGCGGGGTCTCGGCTCGGTAGGACCAGCTCCACACCGTTACACCGACACCCCCCCCCCCCCCCCTCCCGCCGGGCTGTGCCTGCCTTGTCCCGCACCTTGGGGCTGGGGATGACCTGGGCAGGACCCTGTCCCCTCACTCACACCCCTGATGGCATGAGGCAGATTGGGGTGCTGCTGGCAGGCTGCAGGGGGCTGCCTTAGTCCTCAGAGGAGGATTTGCAGATTCTTGGACCCTGCCTACATGGGTAGAGCGAGAGCACAAAAGATGCTGGGTGCAGCATCAGTGATGGAGGCAGGGAGAGATGGGTGTGTGCGTGTGCATGTCTGTGTGTGTGCATGCATGTTTGCATGTCTGTTTGCCTGTGCACACGTGTGTGTGCCCCAGGATGCATCCCAGGGCTGCCTGCCTGTCCAGTCTTCCTTGTCTTGGAAGCAGGTGGTGGTTATTTTCTTCCTTGCTCCATTCAAGAGGCTGAGAATCGGGGCCAGGCTGTGGGTTTAAAGGATGGGAGAGCTGCAGGGGAGGTGGCAGTGTCCCCATTGTGTGGCTGCTGCTGGGGTGCCTTTGCAAGGGGAGGGCTGGGCTGTGCCAAGGCAAGGGTGTCCATGCCAGGACACTGACCTAGGAACTGAGTGATGCCAATGGCAGGAGGTGGAGATTTCCTGCTGGCCAGACTCTTCCTATCTTCCATCCTGCATTTCTGTCAGGATGAAGCCTTTTAACAAAGGCCTGGCTCAAGGCCGGGGTTCCTTTTGCCTGGGAGATGGGGTGGGTGCTGCTGGGCATGGTGGCCGTGGAGACTCTTGCCTCCTGATCCCTTTGGCCTCTGCCAGCAATGAGGTCAAGGACTGCCCAGTACACTGGGAGTGGATCATGACCAGGAGGTGACTTCAGTATGCAGCATTGCAGTGGGGCTGGGGTGCCCATAGCGAGGATATGTAACGGGGGGCACATCCCACTCTCTCCCACCCATTCCTTGGATGAATGAGCTGGTATCCTGCAGCCGGTGTGTGCCGAGTACTGGGGCGATGCATTGGCAAAGGTGAACCAGCAGGACAAAGGAGGAGGGCTGGGAACAGGGAGGCTGCAGACAAAGCAGGCAGGTCGCAGCGTCACGTGGGAAGGTGGCATCGGATGCTGGGCTGAGTGTGCAAGGACCAAGCTGCTCTCCCTGCATATCACCCCACCCAAAGGGCTGGTGATGGGTCCCCTCCTGCCCTGGACTAGGAGCAGAGAGAGGTTTTCCTTTGTAAGAGCTTGTGACATACCACTGGTGGTGTTGTGGAAGTCTCCAAGACACACACCCCCCCCCTCCCAGCAAACCTGTCCACAGATTCCACCTCCTTCCGCCATCAGAGCATGAAGGAGGTTGAATGCCTCCAAGGTGAGGCACGACACGGATCAAAGCTCCCCTTTTGTTTCTTTATAATAACATGAATGTGCCAGCTTGTGCCATTTTTTATGGTCTCTGTGTCCATGCTGCTGGTGGAACCTGGGGAAGGGCTGGGGACACTTGGAAGCACTGGGGGCTTTCGAGGGAGGTGTGCTGCTGGAGTTAAGCAGCTGGGTGATAGGGACGGCCCAGCTGATGTCAAGACACTGGGACCTGTCTCGGGTCCTCACAAGCGCTGACAGGATGGGAGGAGCCGGGACAGAGGAGCAGAGTGGTGGGACTGTGTTGTCCTTCTGGGTTCTTGTTGTTCTTGCTGGTTCTCTTCACCTGACAGGAGAGATGCTGTGGCATTTCACTGTCAGCTTCCAGGTTCCCATCTTCTCCTTGGGAAGACCCCCAGCTGCCCCCCTGTGGCTCTGAGTGCTGAGCCAGTGACTGGGGCATGGGGCTGTTCTTTAGGCTTCCTGCATGCCAGGAGTGAAACGGCCAGTACCAGCCCTGCAGAGGGAAATGCAGGCCCAGGGGCTGGTATCTGCACCTTGTACCTGCAGCTCAGCCTGCACCTTCTGCAGGGGCAGGGCTGGCTCCTGCCCCAGCTCCCACCCTCCCTGCAGGCAAGTCCTGCCTTCACTTGCCCATCAGCACTAACAGGAGAGTGCCTGAGCCTGCCAGCTCTGGCTGATGCAGCCAGGGAGCGGAAGCGATGGGGCCAAGCTGTCAGCAGCGCTTGGGTTGAGCGCCCTGCACCCTGTAATGGTCCCAGGCTGGGAGCTGAGTGGGGTGGCCCAGGAACCCTCACTCCTTGCAGCTTTGGGGGGGAAGGTTCCTTCATGGACTGGGGAAGGCAATGAGTGCTGTGTCCTTCTGTAGGTGACCTTCAAATGGGTGAAGGAGTTTGGCAGTTCTGCTCTCATGCCCTGCTTCCAGGAGCGCAGCATCTATTGGAGGCTTGTGCTTCCCCTTGGGCCTCAGCAGCATCCCCTCCCTGCAGCACCCAGCTCAGAGCACCCCTCCCTGCAGCACCCAGGCTCGCAGTTGAGTGCTGTCTGCTCACAGCCGCAGCGAGCTGGGGGGAGCGGTGCTCCCTGTGCTCATTGCAGGAGGTGGAGCTCAGCCCCATTGTGAGTGGGTGGTTTTGCTGTGTCAGGAAGGCTGATGGTATTGACCCAGAGGCCATTAAACTCCATCACCAGGGGAGGTCTGAGGAGCCGGGCTGGCTGCAGACCTGATACCTGAGGACACTTTCAAACCATAGAGAAAGGGGCACCCCCGAAGCTGTCTGCAGCACCCAGCACGTCTGCCTGGCTGCGGAGACTCAGGAAACAGAGCTTGTGAAATTGGGGAAGGAAGTTGAGTCGGATTTCAAGTTTATTTAAACCCTGCATCCCCCAGTGCTCTGCTGCTCTCATAAACACTCCTGCCACGATGCTCTTCCACATGGGCAGCCCCGCTGCTGTCCTGTGGAGTTTCTCCCACCTCCTTCTTGGAAAGAAGGATGGGATGTGCCACTTTAGGATGGGACATACTCGCATGCCCATTGCCACGTGCCCTAGTGGGTCTTGGCTCAGTGGGAACATGCTGGCAAAGGCCATGTGCTGGAAACAGCATTCTGGCATCTTTGCTGTCACATAGCCGGGGCATATATCCTTATATCTAACCTGAACTTCCCCTGTTTCAGTTTGAATCCATCACCCCTTGTCCTATCACTGCAGTCCCTGATGAAGAGTCCCCTCTCCAGCATCCTTGTAGCCCCCTTCAGACACTGGAAGCTGCTCTGAGGTCTCCCTGCAGCTTCTCTTCTCCAGACTGAACAGCCCCAATGTTATCAGCCTGGCTCCATACAGGAGGTGCTCCAGCCGCTGAGCGTCCTCGTGGCCTCCTCTGGACTTGCTCCAACAGCTCCATGTGTTCTGGGGTGCTGCAAGTGGGGTCTCACAAGAGCAGAGTCCTCTGCCTCCACCCAGGGCAGCTCAGCCCTAGCAGTGGGGGTCTCCCATGTCCTGTGGCTGCTCTTTGGTTTACTTTGGGGCTTCTCAGCCCCAGAGATTGGGAACCAAGAGTTAGTCTTGGCTCCCAGTGGGAACGGTTAAACTGGGCTCCCTGATCTGGAGGGAGATGTGGAGGGCTGTGGTGGGTAGGACGCCTCAGGGTCTCTGAGGGAAGTGCTGAGCCCAAGTTTGTGGGCACAAAGGGTTTTTCTGTGCCTGGCTTCAATCAGTCGTGAGCTCACTGGCTTTTACAGTGGGAATGTTAGAAAGGGGTTGGAGACCACCTTCATCCTGGTCTCCATCCTCCAAGGGAGGAGTAGGGCTGCACCCTGCAGTCCCAGGCAGATCTGCTGTTGCCTGAGACACCACTCTGAGCAAGGCAGCTTTAGACATCACCCATCATCAAGGGATTTAAATATGTGATGCCATGAAGTCTCAGGAACTTGGGATGCTGGGGCTGTCTCTAAGCCCGAGGAAGGAGCCAGCTGAAGCTTTCCTGCACCAGCAGTGAAATTGGGGCAGGAGGAAAACTGCAGCAGATGAAGCCCCAAACAAAGCTGTTGGGAACATGGCTCCTGGTCCCCCGAGAGGGAAGGTGATCCTCTGCTGAGTCTTGTTGTGCTGTTCCTGCTGGGAAAGGGGGGCTGGCCCCAGGGGTCCCAGGGGTCTGTTTCCTGCCAGAGGCTGTCAAAACAGTCCCAGTGTTTGTTAAACACGCAG